GAATGCGATTTGAATACGCGCTGTTTAGCACTTGTGATACATTTTTAAAAGCCGGTGAATATATATAATATTCAAATGTATATCGAAATATCGGAAATGTGTTTAAAAATCGTATCACCGTTATCGAAAAAAATTCTATCGCGATATATATTCATATCGAATTATTGTCCAGCCCTATGTGGAATATATGTAAAAATATCTATTATGTGGTGCAGTTTAATCTGGGCAGTACTATATGTAAAATATGTGTTCCACGCCTTATACAAACCTATGTGCAATGCATCATGTCAAAATACATGTCTGCTGCAGATGCATCAAAGGGGTTTATGATAAAAGTGACACTCTTGTTTGCTAGATACTCGCTGAATATTATTGTGAAATCAGAGTTGAGGGTTAAGCAGGTGTCTTTCGAGTATATTGTAAAGGCGATCGTCTCTTTTATCCTAAACCTTTTCAACATGTTTGTAGTGGGCATGTATTTTGACATGCACATACGTTTACAAAGTGCTAAACAAATATTTTGATGTGCCACACACGACACCTCAAACACATATTTTGTATTCCAGCAGGCCCAGAAGCGGAGGCACCGACCACTACTGGTAAAATATATAAACTCAACTTTATAGATAAACATTTAATCATTAAAGCTTTGAGGGTGCTACTGTATATCAATAAAACTTTAACTTACCACAGACAATGATGCAAGGCGTCACAGGCAAGTTTTCCAACTCTACATCCTTTGCAAGGCTTGTCTCTTCTACATAATGAAGGAGCTCCTCTTTCTCATCAAAATAGGAGAGAAGTAGAAGAATCAAGTGCATTTGTAGTATCAACATATGAATCTGTGTTATGTTTACGGTAAAAATGAGCCTTAAATGCCCCATATGAACGAAACGTATCGCTGTACACTTGAACACGCATCGTGGTTCATTACGGTGAAGTTTGACATGTAAAACATGTTCCCTAAGAGTTTGCACTGATGTTCCACAGAAATAACAGCTAAACATTGTAACTGCGTGAACAAACACGCACTCTATTTTGTTTCACATCCCGCTTGCAAATCTGATTAAGTTTTACATGCGCTGCCAAGATATGTTCATGCGCCGTCAACAGGGTACATGCTACTCATCTTTAAAACTACACACTGCTTAAAACGATTTAATTTAACTTACCAATTTGCCCAGACACATTTATTTTACTTTATATTCCCACTAGTTTGTAGTTCTGCTCCGTCAATACAATAATCGTTCGCCACTCGTCTACTGCCGACGTGCTGAAACGCAAATGCTCCGCGCCAATGAGAACTCAGCCAATCAAATTCTTTGCCCAAGGCGCAATCTTTATGATTGGATGATGCTTAACGGTTATCTTTCAAATGCTTAAAACTAGTTCCTGAGAGCAGAGACAAAACAGAGCATTGAATTTCAGATATTTCGTTTCACACACCCTAAAAAAGTAAAACCACTGCTAATTACAGCAAAACAATACACTGGACACAGGCAGGACACACCTATCAGATTTGTACTCTAAGCATGTTTACTGTTCTTTAAAACACTACAATACAATATTTTATGATAACAACTAAGTATACATTTCCAATTTGTACAGATTACAAAAACTCAAGGCATGAATATGTTGAAACGCTTTTCTCCAGGACGTTTTTTAGAGAGCATTGACTGAAATCAACACAAGTAGGTTTAATTTTTAACAAAATAATAACATCATGTTATCTCATGGGTTTTCACATGTGATCCCATGGGTTTCACACAAAAATGTTCCAAAAACACATTTTTGCACATGTAAAAAACATGTGAAATTCATGTCTTTTCTGTAAGGGATAATACAGTATATTGTTAATTTTACTGCAATAAACCGTATTTTCATATGTTTTTAACTGTTAAATGTAAGGTCTTACTCTAAAACTAATTTTTCACTGTAAATTCTACGGTTATCGCATGTTTTGTGGAATACGGTTTTATCCTGTAGCATTTATACGGTATTTTACTGTTAAATTTACGGACATTTTTTTACAGTGTAGTTATAGTTAATGTTCTACATTATGTATTTTAAACTTGCAATGAGGACATTATGAAGGACACTTTGCTTGATAACAACATGTATTATAAAGCTGCTTTTCATGCATATTTATCTGTATAATGTACTGGGTACAGAAATGGCACCATTTCGGCAGAATATTAAATACCTGGGATCAATGAGGCCTGTTAACGACAGTCTGTGCTTTTCTCACGTGGACGCTGGGAGGAGCCAGAACAGAACTACTTAAAGTTTGTTCATCAAATGTCGCATAACGAAGGGCTTTGGGAAACACTGGCAAATCTCACTTCTTCTTTACCGATGTTATTTCCGATCTTGTTTGTTTTTCGTTGACATTGTTTGTCATTAGGAAACACGCCCATAATCAATTTATCACATAATTTCCTGGTAAAAATGACAGACTTCCCATATATTGCATTGTCTCCTAAGTAATCATAATTGAATTGAATTGCCAACAATTCACACAGTGCTTACTGTGCTTATTTGCTTATTTGCAGGATCATGCTCAGCCGAAACCCGGTGACCTAATTGAGATTTCTCGTGAGACATTCTATCACTGGGCCATATATGTTGGAGATGGTTACGTCATCCACCTCACCACACTAGGTGAGAGCACAGACCATGTTCCTGAGAAAACTATTGTTACTTAGTTTACCTTCCATCTATTTTTCATGCTACATTCATTTTTCTATGTAGATGGATTACCTTCCTCTCACTCAAGCTTGGCAGGTTCCAGCAGCACAGTGTCTGACTCGAATCAAAGGGGCATTGTAAAGAAGGAAATCCTGTTGGATGTGGTGGGAACGAGTACGTTCTGTGTCAAGAACCATCTGGATAATATGCATAAGCCCAGAAGTGTCAGCACCATACTGAGTGATGCTGAGAGTCGGGTTGGTAAGACGGTGCCTTACGATGTCTTCCAATACAACTGTGAGCATTTTGTGACAGAGCTGAGGTACGACAAGCCAGAGTCCCGACAGGTGGGTGTCTTATTCAGTGCTTTCT